TTATTTCCCTTACATGGTTATTATTTGTACGTGATGTATGCCTTTATGGTTTTGTTGTTATTGCTCCGAAGTGCCAGGCATATTTTCTATTCCATTCCAGGGAAAAGAAGTAGGGAGAGAGAAAGGAATTTATCTTTGAAAATTGGTAAGATCCCATTTTCCATACTCCTATCAACTGCATTTTTTTCTGGTATTAGAAAAACACTCAGGATTTTACTTTATCCTATTTCAAGAGTAGACCTAATTAAGCGCTTATTGTGTAAGTGAGTGGTTTTAAAACTTGAGCAGTCGCAATAAAATTTAGAAGCTTAGAAGTGACATGTTATTCTGTAATGACAGACTGAACTGAACCAGTATAATAGACATCGGCTTGAGTAGATCCATTTGCAGGAAAAGAACTCCAGGTCTTGGCATTCAGCAAATGCTGGTTGTGTGTATCCCAATTTGCAAAAGCATGCTTTTTTCAAAACTATGAGGAATGGAAATGCAAAAAAAAAGTAAAAATATACTTCTTCCTTTATAATAAATATAAATAATGCCTTTAAATACAAGGTGATGCACAAAGTTGTATTTTAATGATAAACATTATAAATACCGCAGCACTAGATTTGTGCAAGACAGCCTCTCATAGATGTCAAATCAAAATCAAACCATATTGCTAAGGACTTGTGTATTTTGGTTGCTTGTGCTAAGAAAACTTCCACAAACATTTAATTTTTGTTATAAATTAGACTGCGTCTCATGGAACATTGATTTGTGTTGGATGAAAGTCATTTTAGATAATTGCAGTTCTTTTTTATTCTCTGTGTCTCGTAAATCTGATGCTGGCCCTTTAATTCCTGCTTGTTCTGTCAGGAGGAAGAATACAGAGCTAAATCCAGCAGACCTTATTTTGGCAAAACTCCCACTGAAGTCAGTGAGGGGTTTGTGAAAGTAAGGACTGCATGATTTGTCTCACAGCTCCTGCTGATTATTTGGAATATGTTTGCTCCCCCCCTCAAACAGCAGAGCTCCTCATCGAGTTTGACATCACCACGGTGCAGTGGCTTACGGCGGCGATTTTTTTTGTCTGGAGACTAGAATCATGAACATCCGTGTAATGCAATTGTGAAAAATAGCCTTTTCACCCAATGACCTTGGAATAAAACAGATTGCCTTGGGAGTTTGGAGACTGCTACTGTGGAACTAACGCTACACAAACAGAGACGCTGAGAATTTGGAGAACCCATTTTCAATTCATGCTGAGAATTTAAAGAACTCTTTAAACAAGCTGGAAATAGGTCAAATTCTGATTGTTAAAAAACAGCTACCCAATTGGGTGTTGCCCAGACAGGTGGTACCTTGCGATAAAATTGTTGATTCGTGTAATACTTCCTCCCTGGAATGCTGGCATGTCCATGAAAATTTCAGTTCCGTTTCCATTACAGATTGCAGTCGAGGAAGGCAGCTGAATAGTCAGGAAACCTACTGCTACAAACGATAACACAGGGCACACATTCAGATTGAGTTCTTTATTTTTTTTTTCACTGAAGTCTGGGCAAATACAGGGCCAACGAGAGAAACCAGATCTGCAAGCATCAGGGCTCTCCTCATCGACAGACAAGATGACGGAGTCACAGCTTCCCACACTCCGCTGTGTCAATGTGTCATGACCTTTCTCCCAAGGGGCCACCTTTCGGGTGACAGCACCTCAGTCTCTGTGGCCTTTCAGTCATATGTCTGTCTGCCTTCATGTGGAAGCTGGCTCCAGGCTCGCCAAACACTGCCAGAGTGGTGATTTAGGAATCGAACTGATACTTGCCAAATCGCTCTGCATAGATCACTCGCTGAGGCAGCCACCAGGTAGTTAGCAGGGAGCTTTCAGTCGCTGTTCATCTGGGCCAGACACGAAACAGTGATCTAAGGAGCAGCAGCGCTGTACTTCACTCCCAGTCCCTCAACCGGCAAGTCACTCGGCGAACAGATTTTATATTGCTGATTGGGGACTGTAGTACCCATGCTTATTAATCAGAGCATCCTCATCGTGAGGACATTTTCTAGGCGTGGAGCTGTTGCTAAATACTTCTGCTGTACTGTGGTTTACAACAGTGAGCAGTAGCAGCATCCTGTAGGAAAGTCTTTTCAAGAAAGCTCTGGAAATATTTAAACATAATAAATAGAATAGCAGGGCCTAACTTTTATGATTGTGGGCAACTATATGCATATGACTTCATTAGTAGCAATATCCATGCGAATGCAGATACATGAATAAGTATTCCTAGATTTGGGTTACTTGAGGAAGTCTAAGAGCTTTCTTTTACCTATTATAGTTCAAATGGAATACAATGGTACCACTAATAGAAACAAAATAATCTGATATCCAGCTGGTAAAGTGGCTGGTCGTATAACGCGGTACATGTACTGTTTTCTCCTGTCTCTTTCTGACGCCCATAACTACTTCATCTCTTGGGTCCGCGTGGAGCTTGCCTGTAGCTCCAGGGACGGCTGAAGTCAACGGACTAAATAAAGTAAAACTGCAAAATACTACAGTAGTTTTATAGCTGGAATACTTCCTCATCCAGTTCTGGGTAACGATAAGGAGAAGCCTCTTGAAACAAAGCAAGCTGCTGCTCCTGAGGGACTGCTTGGATCACTCTTCCAACTGGAAGAAATTTGGTAAGTGCTGGAGCCCCAAATTTAACTATGCACATTTATTTATTTATTTGGACCTTCACAAGGGAAAGGCAGGTATTTTTCCATATGGTAATGTTTAATCTTATTAGTTAATCAGCTAGACTATTAATAATAACAAAGGAAAAAAAAATAGAAGCAAGCCTTTTGTTGCAAGTTGGAAAGTAAAGAGAAAACCGTGAAATTCAAAGATTTTTGAACGCTCCCATCAAACAATGAACTAGGTGGAAAAGCCAGTGAACAGAATCCATCAAAGTTGCATTTATTAAATGTCCACTTACATAAAAAGCTAAAAATAGCATCTGAGTTTTTCCAATTTTCATAACCGTTATTATGATTTTCTGCTTCATCTCAGAAAGTCATTCTGCTGCTGCTGTAGTGCGTAATCTGCGTGCCCTTTCTTGGTGCAGTGCAAATGACAGAACACTATCAGATCAGAACAACAATCACATCATCCTTGAGTAACTAGCAATAAACTGTTTTTACAAGGAAGAAAGATGAACGATTTTTAATAAGGGAACTGAACAGAAAAACAGAAAATTATTATAGTCAATCTCACTTTACATCATTGCTCTGAATTTCAAAAGCATTGCTTTTTCCTGGGCAGCAGGCTAATCTGTGTAATACATCTTTGCATAAATGGTCTAGCCACATAGGGGTTTTAGGGTTTTGTTAAAAGTTGTGACTTGAAGTATATAAAATGCCTTGAAGTATATAAAATCCCCTTTCTCCCTGCCCTGTCTGGTGACTCTGACCATAGGCTGCTTCCTAAGTAACCTAAATGCCCAGTTTTGGTGATTATCCTATGTTTTCAGCATGTCTCGCATCTAGTCATCCGTGTTACTTTACTATTGCTGGCAAGTACTTGGCAAACCCCTCCTTTAGGAGTGCAGGCATATGACTACCATGGCTTTCTTCAGATCAACAGGCCCTACAGCACAATGCGGGTGAAGTACGGTACTAATGGTACAGGGCTGGCAGGGAGAAAACGTGTAAGTGTCTCTGGAGATGGCTGCGCCCACACGGCATGGTCTGCCTATGTCCTCCTCCTGAGCTGCTCCCTTCCCAACCCATCTGGCCTCCCTTCAGTGCCTCACTAAAGCCCGTTCTCCTGCGGTGTAATCAACTCATGGAAGCAGTGGGTGGTGGCAATGCCGCACATCCTCCCCACCCCGGCCGACTCTACCTGCGCCTGTGTCCTACACAACAGCCTTCCTTCCACACTCACTGAAAATGTGCGTAGGGGAAAATGTGCTGCTTCTCCTTGTCCTGGGAAAGATTAGCGTGCAGCTGTTGAGAAAGACTATCTTCAGCTATTCAGCAGTGTAGGAGGGCTTACATGAGGATGTCCTGGGAATCTATGGATCTGAGACCCACTCCCTACACATACGCTGCAGTTTTGAACCCTTTGGGGGGCATCTGAAATACATTTCATCAAAGACCCATTCAAGCCTCTTTTGCCTGGGGCCCAGCAAGCTACTTCTCACTAACAATTTGCCTTCTTTCACCTAAGAAATGTGAAAAAAAAAGAATACCATACAGTCAAAATGTAGTTGTCAGATTTTATTTTAGTTCTGTTAACAAATACATTTAATGCAAAGGCAAACGAGGAGCTATGTAATTACCATACTCTCTCTTGACATAGAAAACAGCAGAAGATCTCATAGTTAGGTACCAGAGAAAGCAAAATTATTTTTTATGTCCCGAAACGACATTTTACTACAGGCAGGAAAAACTAAAAAAAACCCCAACCTATCTAGATATTCAATAAGCCGAGAGACAAAAGAAGAATAGCAGGAGTTCTAGTCCCGCAGGCTTATCTCTCTGCTTCTGATCTTTGATTGTGGCTAAGAGGCGCTCATCCGAAATGATGAAGCGTGAGGGACAGTTTCAAGCCTCACCTACATTCCTCTTACCCTGGGGCAGCTGTGGGTCTCATGATGCAATTTTAAGGGCAGTGACAGTTGCTTGTAGCTCGCAGGTCAAAGCCGCGGTACAAGGCAGCCTTGCCTATCTACCTGTTCTGCATACCCTAACATAGGCAAGAGCCACTGTGCCATATTTGCATCCATCAATAATCCTCCATCCCTGGGATGACCCTCTTCAGGTAATCACTTTGGAACCATGCTGCACAGACAAAACAGTGCAACGTGTCCTCAGTGGAGAAAGCCTTTAGTCGACCACTGTTCACGCTTTCACACGGGTAACTCAGAAAAAAATAGAAGAAGAAAAAATACATTTGTTAAAAACAACAACAAAAGATAATGGAAAAAGCTCAGAATCCAAGTAATTGTTCTCAGAACCTACTCCTGACGCTGTAGCAATGAACTGTCACCTGGAAGCACAATCAGTTTAATTCAACCGTGCAAGGAAAGTATGACTAGGAGTGTGCAGGCAAGGTCCGTGCAGCTCAGAGCGAAAATGGCTCCATTCTTGCCAGTCACACTTGATGAATAAAGACAATAGGGAGGGAGAGGGCCAAGCCAGGAGGGCCCCAATTATACAATATTAACTCCCAGGCCTCGCAAAAATGTAACCTTAGTGATACAGAATAAGGAGCGGAGCAATTACGTAAGTTTTCTGTGACCCTGGAGAAGGGTTTCTTTTCCTTTGATCTCTCTGCAGATGCATGCCATTCCCAGCCTCATAAAACAAAGATTTACGATGAGGTTCACCCCAGTGCAGCTCTCGTAACAGATCTTCCTAACCATGTTATGTTGTCACTTAAACAATGGAGGAAAAGCTTCATGGAGTGGTTAGTTGCTCTGTTTATCCACCAAAACCAAATAATGTACAACAAATTTATGTAGAAATGATGAAAGCAACAATATTTAGTAAGAGTTTACCTTTAGGAAGCTAACGCACCGTCTTCCTGCTTTATGTTGGTATCAAGAAGAATTCATAATACAAGCCTTTCTTTATCTCCTTCCTGAATGACTTGACCAATGGCTGTTTGATTTTGTTGTTTCAGAAAACATTCTCTCTTACATTCCATTAGCTGCTGAAAATCCTGCCACATTTTAATTTGCTTCATATTAGGCCCGTGACTTTCCCGTACAACTTTCTGCTTCTCTCGTAATTTCTGTTAAAAATACAAAAATAATAGATTTTTGGAACAGTCCTACACCACAAAAAATGCTTACATAGGCAGCTTGGAATGACAAAGACTTTTATATGCTACCAAAATATTATTTTGTTCAAGTTGATAACACTCCTTGCAAGTGATAAATGCATTAACACCTGGGACTCAGCTGCTTTGTACAGACTGACAATTATTTCAATGTTTTAAAACTGTCTAAATAAGTCTTATCTATTTAAGAAGTTATGCTAAAATTCTGAGTTAATTTCCATACGGAGCTCTGGCAGTATCAAGTTGCAAGCTGCAATGGATCCATATGATGACATTATAAACATGAGATTAACGTTTTACAATGAAGCCCGCTACTGATTATTAATAATGGTAGCCCAAACCTGTAGAAATCGCTCACAGACTCACTCATAAAAAGGAAACTAATAAAAGAAAGATGTTTAGTGTGAATTGGTAAGCCTAACCTCATCCATGCTGATCTGAGCTTCATACAAGATTAAAAATGGACAACTGCTTTTGTTTAACACTGTTGTGCTGATGATCCCCTGGCCTTTAATAACAGTGATAAGGCTGACAGGCTCAAAATTTATTGTCTTCAACAGGTTGCTTTATATACAACATAAAATTTGAGCTGGCACAGTTTGTTATGCCCATGTTTCAGTTCCTTATCCAAATGGTTTTCAGGGAATGTGCTGTCACGTTAAGCTGTTTGACTATCTTTTACAAGCGGCTCATGCTATACTCTGCAGGAAATCAAGCCCTGAAGAGCGAGCATGATATCTTTTCAGGGTATTAGTTACCAATGCCGGCAGTAATGGAATTTTCTTTGTAGGCTGCAATATGCTTTTTATAAAAGACTGACCACAGCCTTTGGTAATAAGCCCCACAAAAATATGAATTGTAACATGTTTTTACAAGGTAAAAGCCTCATTCTTACCTTCCCAAGGTTTTCCTGTTCAAGGATCATTCGTGTATACTGTTCTCTAAAGGAAATAGAAAATAATTTTATTACGATTTTATTTGGTTCTATGTCTTAGGACAGAATAATGATGCAAGCATGGAAAATTATGAAAGTATGAGGAGGTTCATAAATGAGATAGAAGAGAAAGCATGAAGAAACCTTTTTGTCATTGGACAACGTATCCCTTGACAACGAGGATCAGATCTCTCTGATTCTCTCAGTTGTGCAGCTGAGAAAAGTAATATTGGATAAGAGCTCTTACATTTCTGAAGCAGGCAGGATTGCCACTCCTTCCAGCTTGAAGACAACAGCAAGATCACTTAGATAAGACATACTTGATCCCTTTTTAATAATGCATTTATCCTGGTGATATTCTGAGGTTAGCCAGCGGCCTCACTTGTACAAGCGTCAGAGTTTACAAATCCACAGCCCTTAATTGCTGTGAAGGTAGTGTTGGAATGAGTGGGAAAATACAGGAATGAAAGGGAATAGTATTTCACCCCAGGTTTGACAAATCCAATGACTGCAATGGAACCGCTGCGCGTTCCTCACTTTCAGAAAACAGCCGTCACATTTAGGTGCCTAAATATAGGCTTAGAAGCATAACTGTTGACATTCATTATTAAAAATCTTGGCTGTACACCTTTGTCTGTAACAAGTGGCTGGATCACTTTCTGACATATGCAAACTTGATACGTGAAACCTGACAATATAATATGCAAACCATAACAGCACAATTCAGATACATTACTACGTACTTATTTTAAAATTTATTGAAATGTGACAATAAAAAAAAACTCTTCAGTGAGTCACTTGGGAAAAAAAAAATCAATTATTGTATTTCGTGTGTAACGGGTACACTTAGAGGTTGAGAGTTTGCTAGTGGAACACAAAGTAACCCGGCTCATCTAAAGAACTTTCCAAATTGCTCAGGGTAGAAGAATATTGCAGAGAGACATCCTAATTTCCAGAAAGAAATATCAGCCTTCATGATACCAGAGTGCAAAGGTTTGCTAGAGCGTGGTGAGCAGCCGTGTAGAACCAAGGCACTGCGTTTCTTATATTCCTCCCATTTCTACTAAGTACGCCAGGCTTTCAACTGGAGCACTTGGGGCCCCTGGCCCCCTGGTCCTGCCTGCCACACTCCCTGCAGAATGGACGTGCAAGGAATGAAGCCGGATCATTTTATGATCTCTCACTCTTGGACAATTGTAGCCAGAACAAACGAGAGCCGTCTGGAGGCTGCTCCAGGTGCTGTGCCACACAGCTGATCCCTAGCAATCTTCACCAGATCAAAGAGATGAAAAACCACACCGAATCTTCTTATTTCCACTGGCACACAGTGTATGTTCACATACATTTGGCCTCGAGAACATAATTTTTTTTTTCTTTAAAGTAGTTTTCAAAGTAATCACCAGAAGATTAGATGTCTTTCCTAGTAAGTTCTTCTTTACTATTTATGATGATGACTGGAAAGAATGCAACTTAATAACTTCATTTAAAAACCCACAACTTTCTATTTTTAGAGAAGAAAATTAACTTTTCACATTCCTGAGAAGTGACTCCAGGGAACAGAGAGTTTATATTCAATAAAGAGGGTCGGAATTAAGACATTTTTTGTTCAATACGTTGTTAGGAAAGTGCTGTTCTATTTATGGTTCATTTTTACTCCGTTTACATTCCAGTGCCTGCTGAAAAATACATTCACAATCTAAAAGGATGTCTAGAAAAAAAAACATTATCGTCTCATTTTATATTTTGCAAAGATTCTCCATATTGTACTTTGTTGTAATTCATTTAAATGAGACGGGTCTGCGACCTCTTACAGAAGGTCAAAAATGTGTATAGTCACTGCGAGAGGGATAATTTCCCTAGCTTCTGTGCCCACAGTTAGCAAGTGAAACAGGGACAGCGGAGAAAGTGGTAATGCTCCGTTCGCATTCTCCTCACCATACCCGGAATTACATAGCTGGACTCACGCTTAATTCCAGCATTTGGCTTCGATGGCTTGTCTGTGTGAATACTCACATTGTGGATGTTCGTTTCACAAGTATTTCAGCTGGAGCATTTCTTGCTTAGCATCTGTGAATAAATCAGACCCTCCCCTTCCCTGCGAGGCCATAAAAGGAGAGTGCCTGCTGGTTGACCCGCATTTCCTCTCAGCTGCTTGGCTGAGCTGTCTTGCCTTTCATACTAATGAATATTCACATCATCACTCAGATTTTTCTCATAGCCACTTCTCTTTTCATCCTTCTGCTTAATTTTGCTGTTTCATCATCTTTCATTAGACAAATCTTGTATTTCCTACAGCCTTCCATTATTTTATGAGATGGAATAAGAGGCTTCTCACCCTCCACTCACATTCAATCTCCTTGTCCTTTTCTTCTCCCACCCTAACGTTAGTAGTTTTGATTCTTTTCTTACTCTTAATTTTCCTACATTGTTTACTACATAGTATTTAAACATTTTCATGCCTCAGATCCTTGCAGAAGGTCTCCGTGATGGATATTAATCTAGCCCTTCATTTCCTAGTGGCCTCTGCCTCATGTTCTAGAGCCGCAGGAGATGCAGCTCTGATACCCGTGCAACATGCATCGGGATAACTTCTAGTTCATGAAGGATCTGACAGAGGAGGAAGACCTCATCTCTCGGTGTCTCCCCAGGGAATCCCTGGAGTTTTCTCACTCAGTTTGACATGTCGCTATCTCTGTCAATGGCCCCATTCCAGAGCCCATAAAATCTTACTGGTCAACTACTGCCTTTTTTCACTCCACAATGAGCAAGAAATTGCCTCTGGTGATACTGAATGACATTTGATTACGTATGCTACCAACTAACGGTGCTTCCCCTGTTGCCACCACTACAACAGAAAGGTCCAGAAATTATTCTGAAAGTCCTAAGAGGACAGATATCTTGGGAAATTAATTTATTCTTCCATCTCCTTTGAGAAGTGACAGACAACTACTGTTTCTCTTTTCCCGTTGTGATGTCAGCATGTTGGATGGTCTGAAGCTTTCAAATGGAATGTTTCAAATGGAACTATTATTAATTATCTAATTAAGCCATTCTATCTTTGCTTTGCCACTCAGTCATGTTTTTAAATTGTTTTGTGAATGGGACAATTCTGTGAAGCATTTTGGCACACGGTAGAGAAGACTGTACGTGAACCACAGCTCTGACATGATGGATTACACAGGTCTCAAGCAACAATCTGTCCTGTCTCTGAAATACAAATGCAGAAATCTAAGAAAAGGCCTCACATCAAGGAACTATATTGCTGTGGCTTTTTAAAGCCTAAGCAATAGAGCAAACTGTAGGAATGCTGATTGATGCAGACTGTGAGATGGAGAGACAAGGCAGAGCTCATGCCCCCTCTGCTCTGAACTAATTATATACTCTGTGAAGATTGCTTGGTACAGGAATGACTACACCTTTAAGGAGACCCAATCCTACTTTCAAAACATCAGAGTGTTTTTCGCTCATTCCATTCATTAAAAAATTAAACAAAAAGACCTTTGATCAAACCCAGCAAACATGAATTTTAAAGCTACTGTTTTGATAAATATTTTCATGACTGAGAAATACTATGGTGTGAAAGCCAAAGACCACTTTGTAAAACTAGTAACAACAATTTAAGCTTGTTTATTTTGTTGTCAGCTAGGATCTAAGAAATTTTGGGGGGATCAAAGGTAAAATGGAATTTCTATTTCATCCAAAGTTCTGGAATTTTGAAAAAGTAATTATGAAGAATAAAAAACAGAATAAAATTTTTACACTTTTACCAAATGAAAGTTATAAATGGTTTGGTTTGGATTTTCCTGATGTTTAATTTTGATGGGGCTGAACCAGCTTATTGACTTTATTGCCTGAATTTTGTTTCAACTTTTATATTGTATTAAAAGATTGAACATAGAGAAAAATTTAAACTGGATACTTTTACAAAAATACTTAGCATGTGGTAAAGTGCAAAAAAAAAAAATCTATGTGGCATGGTAACATTTAGACTTCTTAGCACAGATAATTTATCCAAAATATCTCATTCTCAGAAAACATTTCAATCTTTGGCAGGACTGCATCATTTAAAATGGAAAACTACACACAAAAAAAATCAGCTCAATTCATAACCTTTTCTGCTTCTCTCCCTACTAGGCAAAGGCAAGGGATCCTGAAAAAACTCACAGAATGAAGCAACTGTCATTATACTGGAGAAAATTAAATTGAGTGTAAAGATGAAGGTTAGTGTGATGGTGCAGAACAGTATTCGTTCTATCTCCAGTAAGAACTGCAAATAGGAGTAAAACAAAATCCATTTAGGGTGAGTATATGCAGTCCTCTGTTCCTGTACTGGTGACGGTGACAGCTATTATACCTGAAAGAAGAGTAGAAGATTTGCAAGAAACGGCAGACTCTGAGGGCAGCATATGGTTGCTCTCTGAGAGGTGGTAGACCTTCTCCTCCTGCACGCTGGAGTCTCAGGGGGAAACTTGGCAGGGGCGTTATGTCTGGTAGAGCCACACTTCCTGCAGGACCCAGCTGAAGCACAGCTTCTCTGAGCTTGTGCCAACGGGGCCTGCAAGTTAAAACCGCTATCTGGGGCCTATAATCTCCAGCAGGAAGGGAAAATCTTTTGGTATGTCTGAGAGAACTCGTAGGTTTACAGCAGTATATGCTGGAATTCAAGATGCTTATTTTTAGATTATTATAGTGTTTCTAAATTTATCAGGTGAACTCCTCCAGTTCAAATGCCAGTGAGAAAATTCCTAACTTCAACCCCAGTTTATGAATATCCTCAAGTTAACACAAAGGAAACATGTTCATAAACTTACCGAATTGCCTTTCGTCTCTCCTGTGGGTCTGGGGAGACGTATGCCTTCATTTCTTCTTTAGCACGCTGCAGCTGTATTTCTAGATTCTATAAAGAAATACGTAATTTAAAAAAAATATAATTCCTGTTTCATTTCACAATGAACAATCTGGTCCCTCTTGTGATCTTACCCTTTTCATGCAGTTAATATAACGGTAGTTGCTTTCTTCCTGAACACACTCCTCAAGAAGTCCTTTCACTTCCTGTAGTACAAGAATAAGATTTCAAAGGACATCATAACTGAAAATCCACAGGAGATGCCCTGTGTTGCCATATAAACCATGAGAGTCTGTAGTAGAAACAGGCATAATACTGAATTGATAATTTCTTAAACGTTTATAAAAGAGACTTCTGTGAAGCCCAAATTATAAAGTGAAAGATAATTCATTTTTTTTAGATTTGCAGTTTCAGTCACAGTTAGAGATGCTAAATGATTGTTAATAGGTGTTTATTAATATGACTGACTTCTAACAGACACTTCAAAAGTGCTGCCAAGACTCTTGTTCCTAAGCACATCTTAAGTGCTAAATACAGTTGTGAATAAGCATTTCTTGGAACACATCTGCAAAATGTATGTTAGAAGCTACAGACATGTTAATAGTATGTTAATTAGCAATCAATAATTATGTTGAGGACTATGGAGACAGTGGGTTAGTCCCATCTCTAAACGGTCCATACCAAAACCACCTAATAATCCAAATGGAATTCATGTACTCCAGGTCACACAGCAATTGTCAACTCCAAAGCTCTGTCACCATGTGATCTTCAGACCATCAGCGGGAAAACTGAATTCTGCTGTTCAACTGCAAGAGTTTGCTGACAGTCATGTCCAGCTTAATCAGTGGATGTGATTGTCATCACGTGATAGTAAATTACTAAGATTTGTCTTGCCAAGAAAAAAAGCCTTGATTGCTATTGTAAAATAGTTCTTATGGAAGGTCTACTTCATAGTAGGATCATCTTTGGATTATTTTATTTTGCTTGGATTAAGCCATACAAAGGTACTTTTAGTGCAGGGAAAGAATTATCTATGTATCCACCCACACTTTAAACGCACGCCTTTTTTATTTTGAAATATATCCCTTATGTGGGCAACTCCTTGAAAAATCAAGTCCAGACAAAATTCACAGGAGTGACCGAGTGAGATAAAGCAGATTCATATAAACATATTAATATTGGTGTGTGTCCCCACCTTAACGGATTGCGGTGGTTTAGGTACTTCCCTTCCTAAAAGTGCTATAGTTCAAGCAATGCATGAACTACATACCCACAAGCTCATAGATATACCCATATGGTTGTATTTTTAAAAAGCTGTTGTATGCAAGAATGCAAGACGGGCACATTTAATGAAGTATCTTTGCCATCAATTTCAGTACATTAATTATCCATTGTCTTGATAAATTAATCCTTATTTTATGGTCAAATTCTTTCCTAACAGATACTATCTAGGTCAGCAGGATTTCTGGCAGATGCATCTTCTTTTACAATATCCTTGCTAATCAAAGCTGTGTGTCGGTGGATGGACTGATGTACCACTGAGTTCATTTGTTGCTATTCAGAACAGGAGACGTGTGTGACTGTAGCTAGTCCACAGCAGTTTCAGGCGTGATTTGCATAGTTGTGGATCACCACTGACTCATTTCCACTTGAAGTGGATTTGTACTTTCCATATCCAGAGGGAAGGCAGGGAAAATATTGTACCATAGTGAATAACATGTTGTGCAGTATTTATTAATATGCATGAACAAGCCAGCAACTTACCTGTTCCAGCGTAGAACGATTGCTCTCTAACCCCGCTGCACAACTGTCGTATTGGATTTTTTTTTCATCACATTCTTGAGTTAATTCCTTACGTGAAAAGGGCAAAAGGGTACATAAATGAATTCTTCAATTGACTGACACGTGACATTCAGGCAGACTGTGCTCTTGTCGGTCTCACACATCCACCTCAGCTATTGGCACACTCACAGACACTTACATAAACCTAGCAGGCACATGGGTATTATTACACGGGGGAAGCCACTAGCCTCCACTTGCATACTGGAGGATCAGCTGTATACGCCACAACATAGCATGCAAATTTCCTCTTTACAGCCACATCCATAGCTTTAACGTGGTAGGTTAATAAGGCAGTGTTTGCAGGAAGAAAGGAAAAATAATTATAAAACCAGAGATTAAGAAAGGATTAATATACTTGCTACCTATGAAAAGGCAGCTTTCTAGTTGTACACAACAAACGCCTTAGCTGGATTTCATTTGCTGATGCTTTTAATAGAACCATTAAAACTAAGTTTTCTGGAAATTCGGTTGATAGATAAACGGATAGCTCTATTTACTTCTGTGGCAATGAGCCAACTTATAGCAGCTGTGGACCTGAATGACTTTTATTTTCAGCTCTCTATAAAATTCTGAAAACAAATGGATAAATCTGTCATTCCTACAGACTAATATAGGGCTTAGATCAATGTATTCAACTATTTGGATGAGACATTATTTGCAATCCATTTAAAAAGGAGAGCATTAGTTGAGATCATTAGTGCCGAGATGCAGAAAAAGCTTTGAAACCAATTTGAAAACTAACTTTCCTACAGTTTTGAACCATGATTTTTAAAATTTTCCCCTGGTGCAGTAATGTTTTTTAATTGCTGTAAAGGACAAAATTTTCAGCCTGATTGTGCGCCTGCACTGTCAGCTTTTATGAATTCCAGTCTTTAACATGTTGCCTGTTGCAAATCACTGTTGACCCATTCTATTTCCAGCTTTCCTTCAGAGTTGATTATGTCCTTGTACAGCACTACAGAGATCTGTAAATTAGACTTGTTTGTGATTCTGACTTTATTTACACAGAACAAGAGAAGTGTTTCTACTAACTTGGCACTTTTGACGCAACTGTCTCAGTTCTTTGATAACAGGAGCTAGGCTTGCCTTCTTCTCTGCCACCATAGTATTCAGTTTTTTTACCTGATGGAGGGACAAAATAATACACATTAACAATATGATACTAACAGTACATTTATATAATTGGGAATGTGCAAGTGAAGGGAAGAAAACCAAAATATGGAGAGAAACAATGTGCGATGAAGACTGAACTGTATATAATATAAGTTCAGGCCTAATTAACAAAGGGAAAGAACCCATCTTGTAGTGGGCTCGTTACCGCAAATGAGACAAATTCTGCTCCCGTCGTTTCAACTGAGAACGTCACAGAGAAGTCCAGAAGACAGCCTATGTGCCGGACACCTAATGACCTTAAGGAATAGGGGAAGATGAAGGAGTTGCATAGAGGTGCACTGAGAGAAAGGAAGAAATCCTTACGAAAGCAAACCAGCCAACCTGCCTGCATAGGTTAAATAAAGTTTGAAAATGCTAAAACAGAGTTGCTGTAAAATATTTATACTGAAAATTCAAATTTGATCCAGCTTTCTATTTGAGAGTCATTCTGGTTTAATTATACCACTTTATTTTAAAAGTGCCCTAATGATTTCAAAGAATGCTATTTTGCTTTTTGCTCTTTTATAATATTTTCAAATTAGGAATTCAAGTTCTGTCTTGCTTCTATGGCTATGTGGGAAGTTAAATTAAAACATGACAGGTCTAAGGGCAATTTAAAATTAGGCTATAGAGAACAAGATAAGATATTTAGCTCTTTAGGCATATTAAGTATTTTTTTAACAAATGCTTAACTGCAGTGATTTACAAACATATTTGAAAGAGATTGAAAAATATTTTTCTAAAAACGTGCAAATATGAAACCACTTCTGAAATCACAAAGAAGTAAAAAAACAAGGACCACAAGACTTGATATCCCTAATGTTTCTGAAGGAGAGGAAAGCAGATTTTTTTTTAATAATTCTAAATTTCTTCTTCATACATTAAAAGAAATACACATTTTAGTAAACTTTTTGAAGATTACCTTTGCAGATGTATACTGTTTGAAAATATATTTTTATATATATATAAACATAGATTGAAAGAAAATTAAAAACCCAAACAAAAATATTAAACTTGGTTTTATATGCTGCGGAACCCAATATTGAAATTGAGGAAATACAATAGTTGAAGACAAAAATCACCATTTCAGACATGTTATCTAGCGTCCGGCCTTTCATTTCATCCATTTCACTCTTTACTGCAGATACTCTTTCCAGCTCCTCCTGGGTGTAACTGTATCCAGAAATACCCTTCTTGTCTTCAATAGCTTGCTGTAGACACAAGAAGTACATACTGAATGTGAGTCCATTAATCAAGTAACAGCAAATTCCTTCAAAAAGCCAAAATATTGTAAAGAAAGTGGAAAAGGTTAAGTACTGTAATAAATTTATTTTAAAAGTGATTAATAATCTAGCTGCCACAACAAATAACTTTTTATCTAGTGCCTGTATAGTAGGATAACAACAGCTTTTTGTAAATACTCTATTTGGTCATTCAGTGCCCAATTAAATGAACAGAAAGTCTCCACAAAGTAAAGAGGGCTTTAGGTCAGGCTCTGGAGAAGTTCAATATGTAAAATCCAGATGCTTAATCTGAAGACGTAGTTAATTATTTGTTAAACAACCGTCAAGCAAAACTAAGTAAATGTTGTATTCATTATAGTAATACTAATACCATCTTACCAAATTCAAGCATTACATTACATAAACTTTACATTTAATTATATGTTGATGTAATGGTCTTTAGCAATGCTTGCTATTAAGTATGTAAGAAGGGTATTTTCTGTAATCTGAAAGCTAAGCGTTGATTAATGCATCCACAACTTGTGGACGCAAAACAATTAATTCATGCAAAACATTCATTCTTAAAAGCGCCATGTATCTATGAACTCCAGGTTATCCTCAAAAACCTTTCACAACCAGATGTTTAAGACAAGATTTGTCTCTACTAATAGCTACTGCTACCATGATGGAAGCATTTTGTAGACTTTAATAGCAGTGTGGTTTTGACAGGGTGTTATGCCCAGGGCTAGAAAAGGTACGTTTGATTCTACAGGGAAAAAGTGCGCACTAGTCATCTGGTGTAAGAACTTTAGAGTCAAAGCTCTGTAGTTTTACTACACAGCAGTTTAGAAAAGCTCAGACCTGAATGAGACTATACTGTTGACCACGTGTAGCCACTTCACAGAAAAACTTCTAGTGCTTTGTGCTGTGATTTTCCTGTGGGATGACTAGTGTATGTTAGTTATCCTGCTGTAAATAAACACTTCCGAAGTGGAAAGACACATCCACACACTGTCCTTCTAGCTGAGGAGCAATCACGAGAAAAAGCTCTGATCCTACTGCTTAGGTGCCTCTTTCTACCCAGGTAGCAGTTCTGGTTTTATTTTTAATTAAACAATGAATGCCCTATTGAAATAGTAGGACATCATCCACTGCGTCTATGTGAGTATCTTTCTAAAGTCTATCCCATGTATTTTCACACTGTCAATTTTCTTTTAATAAGGCAAATACTTTTACGTTAAAAAATGAAAAATATGTACACGTAACAAAACAGATGTAAGTAACACCGAAATATTCTGATAACAGAAATACTGGTATTAGAAAAAAATACTACAGCAGTAGATTTTTGTGAACTAAAAAGGGAATCTCTTTGCGTTTGGGATGCGTGTATATTCCTTGAACGCTTACAGTTATGCATAGCAGAAATCCTTCTGGCTTAGAAAAAGCATTCACCCAGTTTTAAATTTTTCACTTACTGTGATATGCATTTTCTTCTAAATATTCTGGGGCTAGAATGTTTCCGTCCTGCTTGCTCTTTTTTTAAATACTATTCCTATATATTTTGCAGCAGTAACTCGAAGCCTACTTGCCATCAATAATTTTCAAAGCCCTTACTATGTAAGTGGATACCAAAAACTAATTTAAGAATCGAGCCTTGCTCTGACTGGAGTTAGTGAAGTCTTACCATTGACTTTAAAAAGCAGGGTCAAGCCCCTCAGTCTAAAAAGAAATTGCAGAACAGTCATGACTGCCTGTAAGAAACAGTTGCTGAACATAAAGTACAGCAGCTTAGCATAGTCAACAGACAAAAATAAATTTTATACCCTAATGACTCTTTTACTAATGACAGCAGGAGAGCTGAGGATGATATACATTAAAAACTAACAAAACAACATCCATCTTATTACATAGCTGTTATCAGGGAAGCAAGGGTGATGGACTGTGGTAGCGGTAAATGCCTGTATTACCAACTGCTGCTGAATAGCCTCGTGGCGCTGTTTTAGAAGTTCTTCTGTCCTCTGGAGGATACCATACTCAGCTGTAATTTCTGCTATTTCCAGTCGCTTCTTTTTATAAAATGTGTTTTTGCTCCGGAGCTTATTAACGTAGTGTTTAAACTGGAATGAGAAAGAATAGAAATATCATTTAACCTAAAGCAAAAAAGAGCTTTATCACAGACTGTTGCTATATAAAATGTAATTTTCCTATTTGGACGGCATATTGAAGATTAAGTGTTTAGAACAGAGGACTGGAATTCAGGATTCCCAGGGTCTATTTATTTTCAGCTCTGCATTTGTTCACTGAGTGAGATCAAGAAAATCAGCTCTATTGCTTTCTGTTCCAGCTCACTCATTTGTAATAGTGAGATCATTTGGTTCTGCTCACCACCATTTGACAGCTGGAAAAATAATTACTCTTTGCAAAATGTTGTGAGAATCCTGGATAATAATAAAGTTAATGTAATAGTAATTTGCACTTGTAACAGAGCACCAGATCAGCAGTGTGTAGCCCCAAAGAGCTCTGCAGACCAAGAAAAAAGACTATCTTTTTTAAAAAATGTTAGTTCTCAGTAGTTAAAATTTGTTGTTCTCTTTCCTTGACTCTTGCAGACATAAATGATATCACTGGCTAAGTTTTTAAAGACAGGAAAATAAAAGCAGAGTCGTTGCATAGAAGCAGAGAAATGCAATATATATTTCACTCAATCTAAAGTAATGAAGAATTTATACTTTTATTACAGACTAAGCACAATAATACATATCCTTACAGTTCAACAGCCTCAGCTAATTTACATCTGAATCCGTGTGCGCTCAATTTGTAACACATATGAAATATCAGGTGTTGAAACAAACATGTAATATTTTTCTTTGCCTTAATGTTTTCCATCTGTCAAACAGGCTTAGCTCTTATTCTTCTATTTTACATGAGAGCTGCGAGGCAAATGCCAGTTGCAGCTCAAAAATGCATTCAGATCCAGAGACGGAAAGCAAATGCAATTTATTAGAGTAAATGATGTAAGAGCAGGCTTCAGAATGTTCCTTGGCGAGGAGGGATTCAGCATGTGCAGAGTGAGCATAAAACAGGCAGCCCCAAGGAGAAAATAGGAGTCCCACTACCACTGATACAAGTTTAAAACTCAAACATAAAAGAACTTAGATTTTGAAATGTACATTAATTTTTCTTTTTGCAAAATTATGCCTCTCCCTTCTAAAGAATAAACCCAAAAAACCAATGTGACCACAGCCTAAGAACCCCCAGAGTAACTGTATGTTCTATAAAAAGTGTCCTGGGCAAAATGCCCAAAATGAAATCAACCCTGTTCATCTGCCATCCTGTGCAATATCTAGGCCAAAGCTGCTTCTCTCTTGCTATGCTCCAGAACTATTTTTAAAGCCAAAAGCTATAAACGTTTTTGGTGAAAGAACAAACCCACAAATTACTCAATGTGCTCTATGCAGATTGGACTATGCGTGGCTTTGGGATACCATTTTACATTGTGCGCGCTACCTAGGACAAGGATAGACAAGGTCACCTAAGCCCCAGCGCTGCACAGCGGAGGCAGTTCTGTTACAGTCATACTGTCTTTGGTACATTATTGGCACACTTAATAGAGTATTACCAGAATTAATTATTTTTCAGAGCAAATTCAAGTATATCCTCTTCGTTAATACAAAAGACCTTTATTTATTTATTTATTTATTGCTTAGACAATACCGAGTTTTTTCTGATTTTCAAGAGATTAGAAAAGTATAAATACAATCTCCCCCACTAACTGAGGAAAATTTAAGGGAAGCACAGTCATCTGTCTTGATGATATCTAGAGATATTTCATTTGACCAGTAGAATATAGTAAAGAATGATGTAAAGGATTAAACTTACTTAATATGTGACCATATACAGCTATCAAATCTGAACAATTTTCTGACAATTTATCCCAAGATGAAAAGCAAACTATTATTCTCTTCACTTCTATAGCTACTTTTAAGATCTTGAAAATAGCTCGAGTGGGAGGAAGAGTATTTGCATATTCAATATTCAAAGCATAATGTATTTTACAATGGAAGTCAAAGGATCTTGTTGATTAAAGAACTGATTCCACCAATGTTCTATTATTAGTTGATTAAGTTAGGACTGTATAATAAAAATTTCATCCAAAGCTAACTACAAGTTGCTCACATTGACAAGTGAAACCTATTCATTTTAGGAGATGGACCTTTCACCGCAATCTCTGGCTTTTTAAAAGCAAACTTAACCTTTCGCATAGCTTCTGTTGCAGTAAACAAGGCAAAAGAAGACATAAACAACAGTAGCAAAATGATAATATCTGTAGAAAAAAATCAATCAATAAATAAAATCAATCAATAGTTTGTCAGAATGTTCAAAAGACTTCATCTACTCCAAACGCAGCAGAGATTAGCCCCTCAAAATCTCACTAACTGAAGGCTTCTTTAGATCCAGGGCCAAATTCAGAGCTGGAGTTATTAGATTTGACTCCACTTAAATCAGCAGCTTGTAGAGATCTTATGGCAAAATTAGGTTTCTTCAGCCTAAAAGCTGAGAATCATTCTGTAGCTTTCCAAAAATTAAAAATAAGCTTCTTGTAAAATACCAGTGCTTTAATTTGTGTAAGCATTATTCTCAAGCTTTATACATCTCATGCTCCCATCTATACGTAGATGAAAAATCAAGCCCTTAAAATGCTATAAAACATTGTATTTTACTGCGGTAAAAGGTCTTTTAAATAATTTGAATAGTTCACAAAAGAAGAACATTGTCTAACCATATCACTTTAAAGTTAACCAACCAAAGGGAATCCGTTTTCGAGCAGCAGCATTTTCCCATAGACCAGGTCAACTGCTGCCTGCGTAGAAACTCAGCAGGCTCAACCTACAGAATTCCCATGGATCTGTCAGTGCCCGCAGTGATGTACCATTCAAGGCTATGTCCACTACTAAGCTTTTCTTTCTCAAGCAACTTAACACAAATAGTTATTTAAGCTTCAAAGATTAAATAACTGGACAAGAACCAAATGCTGGCACTGACTTCGCAGTTAAAGTAAACAAGCCTGGAGACCCATGTTTCCTAGCCGAGTCAGAGCCCCCTGAGATATAAAAACTATCCAAAGGAAAGCAAAGAAAGATTATACTTTTTCACTTGGCTATTTTTATGGCTGACTGTAACGTAACAAGTGTGGAATCTAGATTATGAAACAGAATTAATGAAAACAGGACTTTGATCTCTCATATAACGTCCTGCAGCATGCAGGTATCTAGCATCCCTGGGCAAGTTTCCTGTACTATGTTCCATTTTTATTGAAAGAATCCAGCAATGCTAGTACTTTATGCTTCTCCGCTTACTACAATCTGAAAGTGATTGCTATCGATTAAATCTTATCACACTATTGTGAAGTAATTAAGTATTATGACACTTCTAAATACAACAAAATCGAATCACAGCTATTAAAATGGCTTCTCCAGGACCATACAGAGTCTGGCAGGTTACCCCCCTCCAGGAAAGAACATAAGTACCCTGACCACATGCTTCAGTGTGTTGCTGAATTGGGATCAAAGCCCAGCTCCTCTGCTGCTTAGTCTTATGCTCTCACTATAAGCCCATCATTTCATCTCCTTAAAACTAACATTTGCCCCATGTGAATTTTTCACAAGGTTCTTATTCCAAGATTATCATTAAAGGAGAAAATGGGTAAGTTCGTTTTTCAGAAAAGAACAAATCCCAGATTAATCCCTCACTTTCGAGTCAAATGTTCAAAACCAGTATTTTCTGGATTACTGTACCAATTTGATTGTGTTATAGTAATCAAAATATTCTTCACACGAAAGTACTACAGAAAACAAAGTATTAATTGTAAAAAAAAAATTATTTCTGAAATACATAATCTAAACAAGGTCCCAAATAAACAGTTTTGTTAATGAAATTATTTGCATGAGGACAACAATTGCAGAAAACTTTATCTGACTATCTCTATTTTTATTAAGAATTGAGGAACAGATGTTTTAATTTTCTAACTAGACCAATTAACGGGATACAGAATGTCCAAAGTATTAAAATTCAGTTAGGAAAAGTTCCTGATCATGACAGATTTTCAGTATTTTTTCCTAAAAGGCTCTAAATTTAAGCTAGTACAACCACTGTTGGATATAGTTAATAACTCATACATAGAAGGACAAAATTCTAAAAGATGCGAGCAGTAGTACCTCAATCTATTAAAATGAAAGTATCCTACAGCCTGCTCATTAGACAGATCAATCAGGAAAATTCTTCATTAGCGTTAAGTAGGATAACTCTTCTGGAAGTGCTTGCTTCTGGTCAGGAAAGAAGTATTAAAGCAGCCATTACTAATAATTTGGATCAATCAGAATATTTTTAATGAAAAACCATTTTCAGTTATCACTGAAAATGCACAGATCAATAAAACTGATGATTTATTCATGCCAGTGGGTGCTGAAAGAGCATTCAGTTCAGTGCAGATTTGTCTGAATCACTGCATACATTTGGCTTAAATGATGCTTAACTTCTTACAGCAAAAAGCTGCTGGCTCCTGTAAGAATCCTACAGATTTGCCGCTTTTGTTCCCACAACTTGACTACCAGCTACTCTCCTTATTTTCACATGTAAGGAGCCTTTGACAGACAGGAATATAACTGTACCTAGAACCTTAGTGAAAAGCTAGGGGAAAGACAGCAAACTGATAGGATAATATATCGTGGGTCCTGGCTTAAACCATTTAATGTTCGAGCTGTGAGGTCCTTCATAGCTACTCTCTTAAAAATTCCTCCACCTAATTTGGACCTAGATAACTGTTTCTGGTGGATTCAGATGGACCTGACAGTTTTAGAGGAAAAGTGACAAGACCTCTGGTCCAAGACTGACTGTTTTCTCTGCTTATGAATTGAAACATTTTTTATATTGTTTTACCAGGGGGCAGGTAGGCATCGGATGAGCACTTGTATGAAAAAAATTAAAATCCTTATGTAAATGAAGACGTAAACCTCACATCTCTGTTAACAAACAGATAGGACTTTCTATGCCACATTCTCAAAAATATACTCATTCCAACTACTGTAGCTAAGCACAGCTATGATCTATTCTATTCTGATACCTTGGGAAAGTCTAGGTTCTTGGGGCCCTATGCTGAACTCTGAGAAGTACAATGTGTTGTGTAAAGAGCTAAAAATATCACAGCTTTACCTAGGATCACTTGTAATTGAACCATCCAGCCTTCTAAGTGTCAACATTTGATTCCCTAATTTTCAGGATCTGACAGCTGCAGCTAGGAGCCTGCCAACTCTGCCCCATGCTCATTGTACTTTGTTTGAAGTACTTAAAAAGATTTCATAATCCCCAAAGCAGACAATTTATTCCTACTTTTTTGTGTTTGATGTAAATGAATGGGTTATTCCCTGCTCTTTCTTCTAAGTACTATCTAGCTGTACAACCTCTCCAACCAACTGGAATGCTGTAACATTCCTTTTTATGATTACAGAAGAAAGCAGAACACTAGCACCTAAAAACATAAGCCAGGATTGACCTTTTGGTGAATGAAGTGCTAAGAAGACCTCAAATGTAGATCCAAATACTGGTGTGGGAGCACAGGCTAGGAAGGCATTGATTCTTCGATTGCCAAGTCTTGCGAGTGCCATGATATAAGAGGATACAGCAAAGCGAGACAGAGAGATGATGAGAAATACTGGGTATCGGAGAAAAAGAATTCTGTGATTTAACTGTAGCATTTACATAGCTTAAACATAGCAGGATTAAAAGCCCATTTTAAACTTAAGACAGCAAAGCTATTTGTTAAAAACCCCTCTTTCTTCCTTTTGAAAATGGAGGAATTAAATGTAAAATGCGTGCAACTGCAACAAGAAAGCGTAAAGAAGCTCTTGGTTGTCAGAGAGTGCAAAGTGAAGGTTGAATGTACAACCTCTTTCTGTCCCCACTGAACATATTTATTGCAACAGTGACTCACTACTACTACATTAATCAAGATTTCCTTTGGTGTTGGCTCAAAGCTGGAGTAACAGAGCACTGAACCAGAAAATACAAATTTAAAAGCATAGCATACCACAAACAAATCTATAGCAAAAGGTTGTCTGGTGAGTGATGAACCGAGACTTTTACTGATGAGAGATAACCCGTTCACTTCATTTTTGCTTCATCGCCTCTTCCCTGCCAACTTATTTGTCTCATCTATCAGTCCTGCCTTCTCACAACCTAGACTGAAGCAGGACTATTTCTGTAATATGCGTTTGCAATGTACTTTAAGGAGATACGAAGACTATAGTACCAAGGGCCTATGCAGCATTTCTGGGAGCAGACATTCACAAAAGAATTAAATATTGCTATCTCCATTCTCCAGATGAGGAAACCGCAACCTTTGAAAAAGAAGCTATCAAAATCATCAAGAATTGAAATCCTTTCCTAGTTTTTAGCCATAGGAACCACTCTTTTTACTGCTTTACGCTGGTGCCCATGAGTACCACTACAGTATACCTAATGAAGTAGCAAACAAGAACAGGACATGGATTGTCTAATACTGGCTTCCTTGGGCCAATGTGCAGAAAGTATTTTACAAAGTAGGAAATGCTTCTTATGAAAAGACAAACACTTCTTATTTTAAGCTGATGGTTTTGTCCAAAGTGCTCAGTCATTTGTTCTTCACTCCTCAAAATGAAGACTTGAAAAGATTTTAGAAGTCAAAAGCAGAATGTATTTTAAGAAAAGGAATGCAGGTTATGTTCAAAACATGTCTTTTTTCTGTCTTGAGCCTCTTTCTTCTGTAAGACAATTAACTTTAATTTTTCATTATTAAGCCTCTTACGATGTTCTGTAAGCATGTTTCCCTCCTACCCTGCTCTCCTTGAATTTCTGTGGATCAGAGTATGTTGTCCCCCTCAAGAACAGGCACAACATGAATTATTTCTTACCTTATGGTGCATTTACAGATAATGTAAAACATATGTTGCTGTCTTGGTAATGCATTCTTGTTGATTAATTAAATACTTCTTTCCCATCACATGTCATGAAACACAGGTCGTCTGCTTTCTGTTTTTATTTTTACTTAAAAAGTTGTCAAAGACTTTAGCAACATGCCCACTGGGGTTGAAAACCTTGTAGTGGAGAGAAATCTAATGCAGTGGTTGTCTTATTATTACTACCTATGGAACACCTATGGAATGTATATAGTACATCATGGTAAAAGAAATCAACATCTTAATTCTTCGAAGTCTCTGTGCCATTGCTTCCACCTGTAGTTTCCATCTTGATTTAGAGAAGGGGAGAAAGGCAAGAAGGCACAAGTGAAATATGCATGCATTCCATATTACACAGGAAGCCTTTATGCACGAGTGTACACATACACGTTTCCATACTTGATTCACTCCTTAAAACTCCTTTAAAAGAAAACTCATTTCTGTGGGGCAGGCACGTCCTATGGGATCAGGAAGGGAGTTCCTTCTACAAAGGGAGTTCCCTGTATTGAGTAGTATATAAAAAAAGCACAGAAACAGACAAAGAAAAAGAAAGTGAAGGGTGTTACTCTTGATTAATGATGGCAGTGCAAATTAATGCAATATGGAGGGAATGAAAAGATATATTAATTCATAGAATGATGCAGCTAAAATACTCTTTGCTTGAGTGATTCTGCCTGTAAGTACACTTAGCAGGCTTTTTCCAAGCTGAGAAAAATTGTTGTCTTAAGAAAAGTCAATTTGTTTTGCTGACAAACCACTACCCAGCTGCAGCAGCCTTATTCTTCGCAAAATTTGAAGCAGAAAAAGCTGCTTTGATAAGTACAGCTTCAAATATAACTTTGCCTGAGCTATGCTGATTGTGCTAGCCAAAGTCTGTATTGCAGACAAACTTCAGGAGGGTCTGGGAATTTTTTTTTTTAAGTAAAAACTTTTGTGGGTAATAAGTACAACAGGACTAACTGCTTTTTTGATAATTGCTGGTATTATGCTTTACAGTATTATATAGAGAACAGATAGTAATGCAGATTTTTACTATACATCAAATAATAAAATTAATCTACATGACTTATCACTTGAACTCCTAATCCCTTCATTGGTCTTGTTGACTTTTATAATTAGTTATTTACCACCGTAACATTGTGATGATATTGATATTATTTTGACTCAGAGTCTGGAATGTTAAGACATTAAGTCCTCATATACCTTTCAATCTATCAGGTACAATGTGAATAATTGAAGTTAATAATTTGAAAATAGCTACAAATCAAGCACTGCTGCAGTATAAATATTGGAAGGCATCTGAACGCACCAGACAGTATTGTACTATCTGCACATTAAAAAAAAAAAAAAAAGTCTTCAAATATGTTAATTTTGGAATTTGATGACAAAAAATATATATGAAAAAAAGCAGAGGGCAATCTGCTGCAATGCTGAGGTCATGTAGTTTGACAACATACTACAAAACCGGATAAGATACTGTAGAAGCAGTTGTTGCAATGTAAATTTAAAAGGCAATTGTGAGTTAACAAAAATTGACCCATCTCTTACAAATTTCCTCTTCCTTATATCCACTGTTACATTGCATACCTCATCCCCTTTCAGAACTTCAGAGCCTTCTAATGCATGGGCCTGATTGGTCTTCTGTAGCATCTGCCTTTCAGTGCGGGACATCTCTTCCTTAGCAGCCTGAAGTTCTTCGGCCTTGGCTTCCTTCTTCCGGGAAATTATAGATGCCTGCAGAGTCATTAAAAATGCATATGGACAAGTAAAGTAAAAATTGCCTTGTTTAATCATTAGTGAAATGTAATCCATTAAATTTCAGGCATTGCACCACTGAAACCACATTTTAACGTCAGAAACTGATTTTCATTAGGAAATGTGAGCACGTCTCTCTGCAAAGAAGAAAGCATTGATTACACATTATATACAGTGGGTTAAACCACAACTTCATTGAAGTCTTTTGCAGACTCCCAACTTTCTTCAGTATGGCCGAGATTTCAAATACACCCTTTTCTCCCAGATTCACATTGATATATTTTACATTTTACATTTACATTTCTTCACCTCATTTTTTCATTTTCATTGAAGAAAAAGGTAGGCATTTTAGCTGCTCCGTTTCTTCTACTTAGTCCCTTTTTGTGCATATGTAAGATACACCAACATGGCTTAACTGGAAAGCTATCCAAGATTTCACAAATGTCATAATACAGATTTTTATAACTCCAACCTACTCCAACCTACAGAAATATGTTATACTAACAGCAGAACTGAGCCACTAAATTTTGGCAAATAGCTAGAAGACGATGAATAAAGCAATACCGTACAGAAATAGTGTAGATTACAGATCATCCCTTTTTTTTTTTTTTGCGTCTAGAAGATAAAGCATTTAAAAAATAATACTTTATACAACCTAACCTGTACCTAACATTTGACCAGAAGCTAACAGATTTGGGAACATAAGTATACATTAGTTG